TTCTGTTTACCTGTGTGCGAGGCAATAGTTCCTTGCACCATCTGGCTTTGTTGTGCAAACGATGCGCTAGTAAAGCGGACACCTTTGCCAGGAAGTGAAATGGAGGAGCGGTACTAAACGGTGAAACATACATGGCTGAGTGACCAGCCAGCAACTACTGCAAATCTATTGCAAATCTCGGTACGGAACCGATCGATTCGAGAGATATGTACCAGCGATGGGATAATCGAACTGAAATGAATATTCTACAGCGTGCCAAGTGACTGTGCGACTCCTTCATTTCCATGGAGTTGCCGCTCAGGTAGGTGTTACAACTTCATAAGCTTGACCATGCTTAAAACTGATCGGCTAAGCTATAAGCTTACCACCCCGTAGGTAGCGATATTGCCTACCAGATATTCCTGCGGATTACACCTTCCGATTGTACGGAAGGCGTCTCCTCTCAAAGACAAATGCATCAGACAGTAAAGGTGAATCCAGCATTACAACCCCCAACATCCACTAAATTACACATACATTCAGAAGTGGTCGTGCGCTCCAACAAAGTGAGCTATTGGTATCGGAAAGTTCCATAATTTAGAAGTGTCATCCAATGGGAGCCCCTAATCTCCTTATCCTTTTCCAAGAAATATTAGACAAGGATTTATAAGTTACGTGATTGTCACCTCCTATGTGACTAACTGTGCGTTGGACCGAGAAGTGCGATAGTGGAACCAGGATTGATGTCATGCATTTCAACTTTCCTAAATCCTTTGACCGTTCAAACCACCTAAACGTTCACCGAAATCTGCAGACCTACGGAATTCGGAACCCTCTTCTTGCATGAATTGCATCTTCTTCCTTCAGCGGTGATTGCAGTTGTGAGTTCGCAGCTTATTTTCCGATCCTACTGAGGTGGAATACGTTCCATAGGAATCAATGTTGCGGCCACGCTTATTCTCGGTCTTCCTTAATGTCTTGGTGTGTGTCACCGAGTTGATTTGGTCGATTTTGCAAATAAAATCAAGATTTGGCAAACGATTGGTAACTAGGAAAATCATGGCCTGTTGCAACGGGACATGGACAGTGATTTTAATGTTCAAACACTAAACTACGTCCGCTCAACGCCGACAAGTGTAAAATAGTACTGTACGCCACAAGCCTAATAGCACATACAGGCTGGGAGACCGCGTGTTGAAGACCACCTCACGGAAGCGTGACCTTGAAGTGACGATTCGAGATGGCCTCGGTTATTTGGTGCAATCGCTGAAGGTGCTCAAACCCGGCAACCAACACTTTGTTCTCTTACAGAGGGCGTTCTGGCGGTTCGGCCCTTTCATTTTCGCTCAATGCTCAATGCCTTTGTGAGACCCTAGGTGGAGTATGCAATTCAGATCTGGTAACCCTGGTTTAAACGCGATTCGGTTTCCCTTGAGACCCCACAGGGAATGGTAGCCAAAATACGCAGGGCTTGTTCTACCTGAAACGCCAAACGCGACCGAAAGTCATGGGATGTACAACGGAAGTTATCATCCTCTCCGTGCTAATCTCATTCAGATGTGGCAATTTTGAAAACCTTAGTTACATTCGCCGCCACCTACTGAAGTTTGGATTCAAAATAATCTGAGATGTCGCTGGCTGAAACAGGCCATCCAATACAACCGGTTAGTATACTGCCGGCATTTCCCGCCCCGTCCCCCAATTTGTTGGCCTTGGAGCGCTATTCCGACTTTTGTTATTGCTGCACACAAGTCATCCATTTGTAAAAGACAACTAGATGATGTATTGGTATCACGTGAATTGACTCCCTTTTATGCAGTGATGATAAAACCCAAATGTACACTGAACCGCACCAGCCCCGACAAAATCGGGCTAGATTGATTTACTTGTGATGAGTCTACAGTTCCGTGGATTAACTTGTTGTCATTTGTTTGTTTTTGTAATTTACATATTTCTTCCATCCGGTTCTGCAGGACTTGCCAGGGTTTACGTTTTTTACCGGTAGTGTTCCATTGCATCGCTCAAAACGGGTGTATACAATTTAAGCGGAGAATTTACACTAGGAGCTACTATCCCCACTCTGAACCGCCGGAGCGTGTGCGGATCAATTAGTCGAAAATGGCCCACGATCTGTGGCATATGAAGTGCACTGAACTATCTACCCGACTGCATAGGTGTGGCTATCTGCTCTAAGCGCACTGCACTCTTGAAGAGCTACCCGATCTCACGCGCGGCCACTCCATTGTAGTGTCATTAGTGTAGCGATCAATGCCAAAATCGAACTGGGACTAGGTTATAACGGTCTGATTGTAAGAATTATCCTGTTCGAAGCAAACAAACCACTTACAGATTGTACATAAGCAAGGAATAGTAGCTGATTAAAACGATTCGCACGACCCGTGAAACTTAGTCGCCAAACCTTTTTAGCTCGCGTGTTGGTCGAGCGACTAGAATGAACGCGGACCTCACACAGTCTACACAATCTCAAGAAATAAGGGGAGGAATAAAAACAAAACCGTCACAGCGAGCCATATGCAGGGCCAGTAAACACACCTGCTGCAAAAGTCTTGTTTTTCTCTCAGCTCTCTATCTCTCTATTGGTCGTGTAGATGCGTATGAGGTAGGTTTTCGTGTTAGTCACTAGGTTCAGCATGCGTGCGAAAACGCTTGATAACTAAGCCTCATGGGTCGTATGAATCGACCTCTTCGGCTACCATTCCTTGCAAGTACACAATCCGTAAGTCTTTCGTTTATTTCGAGTAGCAGAGTCGTTAGAATCTAGGTGCTATAACATGCCAAACAATATAATGCTGTCGTATTCATTCTTGACAATTAACGTGGTGCCCGAATGGTAGACGGAGAGGATCATTATAATGGAGCAAGCGGCCACCTCGGGGAATTTCCGATAACTTTTCCTATTGATCCCGTCTACTGGTAACAAAAAGCCGACTTTAAGCGAAATTTTGTGCGAAACCAGCGGCGAGCCAATCCACTGTCAAAAACGCCGAATTGTGCGTTGGACCCATCAGTTAGAACGACAGTTCTATTGGCCAGCAGCACCGGCGAGTACTCACTCTGGAATCCAGCGTGCTGTGTGGTGTGTAAACGCTCCAGCACTAGCTGAAACAGGTTGTTCATGAGCTTCACTTTCTTCTGATCGGAGCCTAGCGAATATCGTGTTCGTCCTCGGAAGTGGGGGGGGGCGGACAGACGACATCAACCACAGAGTGCTTAGTCCCATCTGCTTTGTGCCTAAATTACCTGGAAGTGTTGCGACAAAGTGATGTATGCAGTTGACTGCAAACCTTTGCTGAGACAACTGTGATGGCTCGGTCATGTGAGCCGTATGGATTCGACGCGGATACCGAAACAACTACTATGTGGTCAGCTGAGTACTGGGAAGCGGCACGTGGGGAAACCAAAGTTATGTTACCAGGACATGATCAAAGTGAGCCTCTCACATTCTAATCTTGATTGCAGATCATGGGAATCGAAGGCGGTTGATCGTGGTGCATGGCGCTACCTAATCACGAAGGCAGTTACCGAAGTGCGGGAGAACGACATCGTACATGCAGTGAAGAAGCGGCAACTGCGGAAGCGGCAAACACCGATGGGTTGTTCTCCATCGACATCAAGCGCATGGTGCTGGGGCACATGCGGTCGAGAGTGCATGAGTCAGGCAGGCTTAGTCAGTCATGAGCGAGGCCACTCGGGAACGCCACCGATGCGACGACGGGTTCTGCAGAGAACGTAGGCAGAACCAGCGCAGCGTTTGTAGGTAAGCTGCATTCGATTTTCTATCCGCGTGTTTGCATGCTAAGTCTCATTATTTCAGGTGGTGGGTTTGTAGTTTTGTCTTAATGCTTTTCTTCCTCATATAAATGTCTACCTGTACTCTCTCCTATAAACTTGCACGCTTTGCTGAAGCTAATTGTTGTTAATTTCGATAACATTTTCGTGTTTGTGTCATTTCCGTAAAATATGCTTTCCGACCTCGTGAACTTATCTCGGATCCTTTGTAAACAAGTTATTTCATACGCTCTTAATTTAAGAGTTTTGTCACGTTTCCTTATGCATTACTCGATTTGTTTTATTTGTTAGCTTTATCTCAATTGATTGGCTGTTGCTTGATATCCCGGGTGTGGCTGCGCTTAATGTATATGTTGACAAGGTGCCTACCTCTCTAGTACCCACTACGTCATCCATACTGGCTCTAGGAGACAGTTGATGGTTGCTGGAGGGGACGGGGTGCACGGTTCTTGTGCCCGTGTTAGGATTAAAGCGTGGTTCCATGCACTCAGTGTGGAGCGGACTACGGTCCAGCCACCGCCTTGTGTGCGATTGATTCCCAACTACAGCGTGCTTGTGTTTGCCTGTGAAGAAGTGTGGGCCAGCTCCGTTGATGAAATGTGGCTCCCATCCACATGCCTCCCAGTCTTATTTCTTCGGGTTTACACTGCACATATATATATATATATATATATATATATATATATCCTGACACTAAAGGGGTAGAGGTTCAAACAAATACCGCAATGCTCCTGGGTCAAGTGCCTGCTATCTTATGAGATCAAGCAAAGGCGAGACCTGTCGGGGAATGCAGCATTATGGGGAGAGCAGCACCCATTTTTTTCTGATTCATCAGCTGCAGTCCTGGTCATCGCATTAACCAGGGTTCAAGTTTTACATGGAAATTGTGCGTCATAATCCATTCACACAACCTGCACTACAAAATGACCCAGCAATCTCTTCAGGATTTATGTGCCTCATTAAATTGCACCGCAAAAAGAGCAGCGGTGAGAAAACATGTGAAAAATATCTACCAGGATCCTAGCGCGGTGAAAACGCCCCGGGGAGCCGTTCACTACACTGGAAGGCATGCAAGCCTTCCAGTTTAGCCAATGGGTATCCTTTCATCCAAAGCTCTAACAATGACCCTGCCAAACTACTGGCATATTAAGACATCGAAGGATCACTTGGCAGTTGCTTGAGAATATGTTGCCAAATTATGTACAACTCACGTGTGATGACCTCAGAATGGTTCGCTGCCTCTTCATTTGCTAGAGTGTCTCCTTGGACAGTGATTTCTCTCAGTGACTCATAGTTGCCTGCTACCTCTCGAGACGGACCCCTTCTGGGTTTGGGCTCTGGAGTACGACTGGACCTGTGGAATGTTTCATCCGTTGTCCCGAGCTGGGTAATCCCAAAGGATGGAGATTGCATAGAGGGAGGATATTGTACCGCCTGTTCGGTAGCCACTTCGTCCATGTCGCCGAGGGGAGGTTGCAATATTTGTTTTGAATATTGGGGTGTAGGAGGCAAACTCTGGATAGTGAAAATGGACAGTGAGAAATATGTGTTAAACGAAACGAAAAATCCTAACTTAGGTTTAAGAGCCCAGTCTCAGTACACCGAGCAACATCCTGAGCAACTACTAACCTGGTAAGGCATTTACTGGCCTCAATAAATCGCTGAACCCGGTGTAAGATTTGTCAGTGGGATGTTCATGAACAGAAGGTTCTACGCGGGCCTTTGTTCGAAAACCGTTTGGGCTACGAATTGTAGTAGGCTTACTGAGAACAAAATAATACCTAGTGCTTGTGACTTGACTCATTCAACCTGAGTTGCCCCAAATTTCGTACATCAAGCAGGGTGGTTTGTCAAAAATGTTTAAACGATACCTTTCATCTGAAGGTTTTCGGGTACTCTCTCATCTTGACTGAAAGTAGATGGATAGATATTGAGAAATTAGCTAATCACAGCGCTTACCGAAGATGCAGCCACCTGAGTAACGTCGACAGTTGTCACTTGTTAACCGACGGTACAGTGTAAAATGCTGGTGTGTTGTTACCGTCACTGTGCAGATCAATAAGATTAAAATGTTTTCGAAGGCCAACTGACTCTGATCATGCGTTGCTTTGTTCACATATGACGTCAGTAATGCTTACGCTTGCCTACCGGATTGTGACTTTAGACACTGTGGCGCTGCACTGGGTAGGTCATCGAAAGATGTCGCTGACAGTGGTTGAACAGCTTTCTCATGTTCGCTGAGCGGTTACCTCGACTTGCTTTGTACACCGCAGTAACACCTGCGTCCTCCTGCTTCAAGTTAGGCCCAACACAGCACAGCCCCGTTACCCGTGACACTTGCACTGTGCGTCTAGCTCCTCAGCTTTCTGTCGGATAGTTATCCACCTTACCAACTCCATATTTTCTCCAAGCTTTACTCATCTTTCTGAACCACTGTTCATCGTAGTTTCCCACAACTATACTAGTTTATCGTCATAGTTTCACGAGCAATGCTAACTAGACCTGAAGGACATGGGCAAGGGGAGATTAGCCAACTAACTGAAACAAGTCATGATGGCCTTTGACTTTCTCTTCTTGATCCGCCCCTGGAACCAATTGGAAGCATACCGGTAAATCAATTCTTCACGTAAATGTAAGCCATCATTTCACAATCTTTCTTCATCGCAGAGCAAGTGGCGGTACCTACACTCCAGATGGTTAAATATGTAGTAGTACCATAGTACAGCTGAGACTACAATTATGCTTTACATAATTATTCGCCGCTGTTCGTACTAGGGTCCTGCCAACTGTGGCGAGTGGTTGTATGTTTGGCAGCTTAAGTGGTCACATATCAAAAGCAACTAACATAAGGTGAGTTAAGGCCAGCTAAACGCAGTTAAACGGACATTATTTGTCTAGAAAAGCATTGGAATGTTGTTACATTTCCGTTAGAAAATACCGATGCTTGTAGATGTTAGCATATTATCTGCACAGCCGCAACGCGCAAATACATGAAGGGCATTCAGTAACGCAGGCAGCTGGCGTACTGATGTCCCCCTTGGCCCAAGAGGTTCCAAACACTGAACCGTACGAGATCTTTTATCTAAACCTACGCGTGACAAGCGTGCTCCCGGGTCATTTGGATTATTCCTCTCTATTCTCTCTCCATTTCTCGCAGCGCAATCACCGTACCCTCATTTGAACCGGATATACCGGCCCTACACAGTGATCCAGCACAAGTGGAATTACCTTCTACGATTAACATCCATACCTTCACTAACACTTTTCACCTGTCATCTGCGATTAAGCGCAAGCGGATAACTTAATCACAGCGGGCCGATTGCCCTTCTGTGTGACACTATTCGATACAAGATTCTCGAGACAGTCCAAAATGCCTAAGCTTATTACAATCCGGTGTTTTTCAACACAACTGTGAAGGAATTTGTGATCTCTCCATCTGTGTTCAGCGTTGTGTTTAGATTCATGTAATGGGTTTCAAAGCAAATTGGCCCAACATCGATCCATCAACCGACCGACACTGAAACGTGTGTTTACGAGGAAGCGCTGGTGCCATCAAGCGCACCACAAAAGCTGACAACTGACATTCGAATCGAGTTTATCAATATGCGTCTAGCGATCATGTGATAGATGGCACGTGGGATTTCTGGATTAGGTCTGACGCTTCGCGTTCGGATGATGACCAGAGAAGCGATGTAGTGCTTGGAAGTGATGCTTCTGAATGCATAGGTTCAGATTTGTTAATTATATGCACACCACTTCTGCGGTAGCAAGCAGTCACGCACTCAGCCGATGGTTCTGCGGCAAAGTGGCTTTGTACATGCTCGCAAAAGCCGTCCTTTTATCGATTTGATGTCCAGTGCTAACCAGATGATTTGTGATCACACTTAAGTTAGTTCTATCAAGTTTGTCCATAAGTCCGATTGGTAGATGTTCCTCAATTCGTTTGCATAAATGTCTGGTCGTGTGTCCAACATACCTAGACCCATAGGGACAGGTAAACCGGTAAATCACTAGAGTCTGGAGATGGCCGGGTGCTTTGTCTTTGAATCTAGGGACAAATAACGGCTTGCTTGTGAAGACAACTTTTTACTGGGCGGCGTTGAACGTTTTCTCACAAATTTGCACTAGTCGTCGCACACATACTTCTGAGTGTTATCACCTCTGAATAGAAGGATGAGGAACAGCTGATTCTTCTAGACGTTGTGTCTTGCGACTTTCGAACTGCTTTGTTTTATGTGAGCGACAAGCAAGCTTTCGGGATAACCGTTTCCCAGAAGTACCTCGTTGATTCGCTTCAATGCTTCTGCGTTGGTCTTATCGCTGCACATTCCATATGCATGGTTTGTTAAAGTGCAAACAAGCGTTCTTTTACGGCTGAGTGGTACAAACTTTGGAAGCGTAGGTATTGACCTGTCCAGTACGGTTTTTAGTATAGTTCTAGCTGAACAGATCCATCTTGCCTTCTTGTAATGTTTGCATCTATGCTTCTCGGTTTCGTCAGATGGTGTTGTGTTTTCTTTTACTATTTCTGTACCTTGTTTTGAGTTCCATGGTTTCCGATGGTGCAATGTCTATTCATAGACTGTTGCAAATATATATTGTATATATCTATGCTTCTCAGATGGTTATCAGTTTCATCTTCAATTCTGAATGCTGCATTGGGATGGGCTTGCTTGAAAGATTACACACTATTTTTGTAGAAAGTAGAAGCCACGATTAAACTTTGCACAATAATCTGCCTCCAGGGTGAATCGAACCCCGGACATACGGATTACCGGTCCGCTGCTCTATCAACTGAGCTACCGAGGACTGACGATCAGGTGCGCAATTTAATACATGACTTCTGCTTGGTTCGCGACGTATGCCAATAAGCTCACAGTACCTGTCCTGGTGTTGCAGATTGGCTCACTCACTCGTCACTTCCCAATGAACCGATGTATCTGCCCTCCTGAGGTTCAAAGTGTGATGGTAAATGTAGCTTCTTGGTGGTTTTTGTGAGTACTGTAAATTTCGTAGAAAGTATAAGCCATGATTGAACTTGACACAATACGCTGCCTCGACGGGGAATCGAACCCCGGACATACGCATTACCGGTCTGCTGCTCTACCATACCAGGACAGATACTGTGAGCTTATTGGCAATAGGTCGTGAACAAAGCAGAAGTCATGTATTAAATTGCGCACCTGATCGTCAGTCCTCGGTAGTTCAGTGTTAGAGCAGCGGACCGGTAATCCGAATGTCCGGGGTTCGATTACCTGTTGAGGCAGATTATTGTGCAAAGTTTAATGGTGGCTTCTACTTCCTAGGAAAATTACACTACGCACGATAAGCCACCAATACTTACACGATATGTTTTGTGTTGACCACTCGGCCAACTATACAGAAGTTATCATCTAAGTAGCGACGGTAGAATTTAAATTCTGAACTGACAGACTTTAGTGGACCAACTTCGCGCATTCCCATGTACACATCAGCCAACTGTGATCTCAAAGGAGATCCCAAAGCCACTTCATCCACTTGGCTGTACAACTCGTCGTGGAATTGGTACTGTATATTGTAGGTACATCTGAGTAATAGCGGTCTCAGTTGGACAGTTGGTATCCTGGGGTTTATCCTGTGTTGGTTGATGTTTGTGCACAGGAAAGTAACTGTCTCGAACAAGGGGACGTATGTGAACAGTCGGACAGCATCCATTGAGAACATCCGCTGGTTTAAGGTATGCATGCTTCGAATGCTTTCCACAAACTGGTAGGTGTCTGTTAGTTGAAGCTGATCTATCATTTTTCTGACTAGGTCCAATAATCAGCTCAGCCAGCTTACGATGTTATGGTGTGGCGAATTTCTCATGTCTGGAATCGGTCTTACTAGTGTGTCCGATTTGTGTGTCTTAGGGAGGTCATACAGTCAAGGGATAATGGAGCTCATAGGCTTGTGCTTTTCATAGGTTTATCTAGTTATTTGTCCGCCATTTATAAACGGTTTTAGAGATTTTAGCTGCAGTTAGGTGCACTCCGTTTTACCCTTCTTACACTTTCTAAAGCTTGAGGTGTCAGCTAAGATCGCATCTATTTTTCTTATGTAATCTGCCTGACCCATGACCAGAGTACCAGCCACTTTGTCCGGCTTGGTGCTGATAATGTCATCTCTTCGAACGAGTTCTTTCACGGCGTCTATATGTGCACGTGTTAGCAGTCGGGGTTGCTTCACAGGATATGTTTGGTAGTGATAAGCGACGTTCATCAAAGTTGATCTAAAACGCTCGAGATCGGCATTGGAAATTGGTACTACATCGCTCGTCGGGCTGTTGAGGTGTTCGAAGTGAGTTCCTATTTCATATGTATGGTCTTTCTTATTTGGGTGACAGAATTTGTGACCCAATGAAAGTGTCTGCATTTGTTGGACGTCTAGCTGCACGTTGGACAGTTTATGTAGATACCTTCCAGGATTTGACGGGAATGTATCTGGACACTTTGTCTTGCTCAGCGTTCTCTGCATAGTGAGCGTTCTCTTGTCTA